TTAAAAATTATGCAAACTATATATTTAGTTTTCTTAGTTATATATGACAAATATTATATATACACAATAGGATTGTTGGAACTATATTATATTAACTAGGAGTAATAACCAATCTGTATAAATGTTACACTACCTATAATTATTGGTTTTTTTTTTATTTTTTTTTATTTTTTTTATGAACAGCTATTATTATTGAAATGAAAAATTACATACATCTTTATCTATGCCTTTGCTATATAAGCATTATTACTAGTACATTAATTCTAAAGGTGTAATGTAAAACTTTAAATATAAAAATTATTTATTATTAACTATTATGTACAACAGGTGCGTCTCTTTGCTTGTTGTGCCTAAAAATTTTTCACTTAAAAGTAAAATTACTCAATTTAAGAAAATTAGTTGATTGGACAATGCTTAACTATTCCAAATAGAGTCTACTGCCGTTCTTCATTCTAAATGTCTCTGTCTGTCGTTTCTCATGTTCTTGCTTTGGGATTATCATTACATTGTTTCTTTGGATTAACAAGAAATTCTTCACAAAAGAAATATTTTAATGATGAGGTATTTTAGTTTGGAGTTTTTAATTTTGTTTTTAATTAGGTAAATATGGCACAACTTACTTCAAAAAATCTATTCTTTTGTCTCATTTTAGTAGTTGTTTAGTTTTAAATTCATGAATTTTTTTATCAGCAAAAGCAGAAGTTTTCTTTTATAATATTTTTAATACTTTACAGAATTACTTATAAACAACATTCTCACTTGGCACCCAAATCTCAAATCATATCTCATTACACACACAGACTTCTAGTGGCACCTATTAATTTAAGGCACGCCAAGACCGATACACCCTCCAAATATGTAGGAATGGTGCAGTTACCTTTGCTTGGTTCCTTCACATTGGTTTTCTGATGCAATTTCTACTTTTGTTTATCTTCTAACCTCTTCTTTTGATCAGTCTCAGGGTGAGACACCAATCTGTATAAGAGACCACGCAACCATCCACCTTAATTGCTTGTTGTTCACATGAATGATCTCCTTTAGTTTTGAATCAGTTAAAGAACCATATAAAGCATATCCATCCTTCTGTTTAATCAACCTTTTGTTCTTGCATATCCATTATCCACATAGTCCAAGTGATAACGAAAAACAATAATCATCAAACTTCCCTCTCAGATCTACCACCACCCCAAATTGTGTTGATCATATAACTGTAATCCCTAGAAATAAGGAGTTAAAGACACTACCACTTACAGCTCCAACTACAATTAAGAAGTACATGGCTTAACTCCTCCATTCTTCAATTTTTAACACCTTTTGGGGTTCTCATCAACACCATTGACCATCCTTTTTGTTGTCCATCAACAAAATGATGAGCTTTTCTTACAAAATGAATTGTATGCAGGTTGTGTTACCAAGCCTTGAGGAGCTGCAATTATGCTGGATGAATGTTGACATCAAATGGCTCACTTCAATAACATCTTTTTGTGTCAAGAAATTGAAGAAATTGATCATTCAAGGCTTTGATAATTTGGAATTTTTGTTCTCATCTTGTGTGGCTAGAGGTATGGTGATGCTTGAACGACTTGAAATAAGGGAATGCAAGAGGATGAGAGAGATTATTGTCACAGAGAATGCAGAAGAAAAAGAAATTTTGATTTTTCCCCAATTGAACCACCTATCGATAGAAGACCTTCAAAACCTTGTTGCATTCTACTTAGGAAATTGTATTGTTGAATTCTCATCCTTGGAGGATTTGGAAGTACTGAATTGCCCCGAATTGAAGGGATTCACAGTTAAATTTTCTGAAAGCACAAGTTGCATAGTTGACATACAGACACTCTTCAATGAACAGGTAATATGTTCCTCATTTCACCTTCAGCTTGGCTTTAATTTTAGGGACTAATAATTGTCCTTATCCTTTCACTGTCAATGGCATGATGCATTCATTTATTATGTAGGCTGCATTTCCCAACTTGAAAAGGTTGACTATCACCCACTTGAACAACTTGGAGATCATATGGCACAACAAACTATATGCAAATTCCTTTTGCAGACTAATATCATTAAAAGTTGGAAATTGTGAAAAGCTATCAACTGTTTTTCCTTGTACTGATATATTGGGAAAAATCTTGAAATCCCTAGAGGTGTTATCTATATATCAGTGTGGCTCACTCGAAGGGGTATTTGAAATTGTCGAGTTCAATGTCAAACAAACACATGCTGTGATTGACACCAAGTTCAAAGAATTGAATATTGAAGGCCTACCAAGATTGAAGCATGTGTGGAATAAGGATCCCCAAGGAATACTCACTTTTCACGACCTGAAATCAATCAAGGTAAGCTATTGTGGGAGTCTCAAAAATTTGTTTCCAGCTTCAATAGGCAAAAACCTTTTGCAACTCCAAAAGCTACATTTATACCGGTGCGGGGTGGAGGAAATTGTCACAATGGGAGAACAAGAAGCTGGAGCAATTGTTAGCTTTAAATTTCCTCAAGTAACAAGTCTAAAGCTTGAGGTGCTACCAAGACTCCAATGTTTCTACCCAGGGGAGCACACAACAATGTGGCCAATGTTAAAAGAGTTCTGTTTTTCTCACTTCAATCAAGTAAGGAGAGCAGATGGGTGTGGGCAACTTGATTTCCCTGTACGACTACCACTTTTCTCCACAGAAAAGGTACGATTCATATCATAACTTTCTATTGTGAAATCAGAGCCCCTCTCCAAAATAAAATAATAAAAGAACACCTTACTACAAATGTATATCCTGTAACAAGTCATTAATTTTTAATAACCACCATACATGGATAATGATATCATATTGGAAAGATGCAATAACTTGCTTTAGTGAGACTTGAGTGGTTTTTTTAATGCAATATTGTTTGCGAGACTGCTTGAAAATGGTTCTTAGTATTCCTTTAACTTTGTCATTATTGTTTGGAATCTCTTTGTTAAATAAATCTGCTTGTGTTCATTTAAGAAAAACATCATTAAAAACTCTTTTATTATGGCTATCGAACCACTGTGAAGAAAATCTTGATTTGTAGGCTAAGAAAAACAAGCTACTTAGTGATCATGAAGGGAGAAAGTGCTGGCTTTAAATTTTGAATTCTGTAGAGAAAACCAATTACTATCACGGTTAGAAAATTTGGTTAAAATAAGAACTCATATCACTTGAATGCATAATCTGATCTAGTATAAAAGTGTATTAAATGTTAAGCTTTAGAAGCCAGGAATGGTAATCAAGAGGTATTAAGCTAAGAGATAGTATCTTATAAGTGAAAGGCATATTATTTTAAAGTCAAATCATTTATACATGTATTTAGTGGGAAGTCCATTTCAAAATGTATTTACAAAGTGTAATGATTGGTTTAATTGAAGAACTCTCATCTGATTATACCCAGGATTGGAACAAACTTAAAAAAATTTGAGCCATATGCAATGTTGGGAAGATCAAATTTACCTTTGCATAAACCATAAGAAATTTCTACCTTCCAAAAACGCTAGCTGTACTCAGTTAACCTAAAATGGTTAGAGAAACAAACATGAGCTATGAAGTTCAGTAAGCATAAGTTATAACCTAAAGCTGTAAGTGAGCTTTGAGTCAAATTAACAAGAACAATCAAATAATCCATGTTAAAACTTATAACCAGAATCCAAAAAAGATAGATTATGAAGGTGGCGGGCATAGCTTAGCCAAATAGATCAAATCTCTTAGATAGGTTTCTTCATAAATTCAACACTAAATCATTAACTTCAAACATATATAATAAATAAAATCAGATTACCAAACAATTTAGAGAAACAAACAATCAGAGAGTCTATGAGTCCACTTAACAATCTGTGGTGCACTTCACATTAAAAGCAGATTGCCAACCATAGCCTTCCTACTGCATAGAGGTCCAATCAATCAAAGTTGCTCAACTTGGAACCCAAACAATTAACTAGCAATTAGCATAGGTTGCAACCCTCTATAGACTCAAACAATAGTATAAAGCACATAGCAGAAGCTATAATAATCATGGTCCGACGAAATAGATATCAAACATCAAGTCTCACAAAATACATAGACAGAAGCCCTTTCTCTTCCTTTGGTTTCTAGTTTAGAAATTATGCAAATACAACTGCTTAATGCTTACATGCAAATGTATACTGTTTGGATGTTTGCCATATGTCATTACCACCCCAAATAGACTTGACAGTTGTATTCCATTATAAAAATTTCTGAAAATTTACATGCAAACCTGAAACTTTGTTTTTATGCAAGTTAGATCTGACAATTAAGAATAGAAACTTATGAACTATACAATTAAGGGTAGGATCATTACATTCATTCCACCCAAAAATACGCTATTTATGCATCATTTTCAATTCAAGTAGCAATAAGAGGGTATTTGGTTTCCATGTGAAAAAATACATTTAATATTTTTAATAAATTTTTTTCTGTTTTATATATAAAATCACAATATCTTATTTTATTAAATTTTATTTCTTTTTAGATCATCCCTCAATTGGAGAAACTATCATTAACAAGAGATGACATTGCAATGATATGTGAGCATGAGTCTAAACAAGACATCCTTTTCAATGGCAAAGTTCTTCAAATTCAGGACTATCTTGATGATGAATTAGATGTTTTACCGGTTGGATTCCTAAAAAGGTTCTGCCGTCTAGAAAATCTCATTGTGAGCTATTGTAATTTTAAAGAGTTGTTCCCTTCAAAAGGAGAAGTTGAAGAACAAGAGAAACACATTGAGATTGAGACACTCTCAAGGATTAAAACATTAAATCTGAAGTGCCTTCCATATCTCAGGCATATATGGAGCCATGACTCACCGAGTGTCCTTCAAAATCTTAAAACTCTTGATATATTCAAATGTGATAGTTTGATTATATTATCAACTTCAATTTCATCTTTCCAGAATCTCACCACTTTGAACGTAACAAGTTGCAAAGGGATGATAAATGTGGTTTCAGTCTCAACAGCACAAAGTTTGGTGCAGCTAGAAAGTATTACTGTAGAGAGCTGCCACATGTTGACTAAAATAGTTGGAAGTGAACGAGATGGAATGCAAGATTATATCATGATCACTTTTGCTAAACTAAAATTTTTGACACTTCAGCAGTTGCCAAGACTAGAAAGCTTTTGTTCAGAAAATTTCACCTTCAAATTCCCACGTTTAAGATGGGTAACTGTAAAGCAATGCCCCAAGTTGAAGATCTTCAGTGAGGGAGAGCTAGATACACCATTGCTATGGGGAGTAATAATTAAAGAAGAGGACAAGTACCGTTCGAAAGATGACCTTAATACTATCATACAAAGAACGTACATGGAAGAGGTATGAATTGATTTCTAAATATTTGAAGCCACTCATTCTTTTTATAAAAAATTGTTTGCTTTATTTTTGGATTGTGCTATATACATAACTGCCCTTGCTTTTTTGCACTTGCGTAGGTTGGATTTGCTGGGTTACAACTTTTGATGCTATCAGATTTTCCTAAGTTCATGGAAACATGGTATATCAAGAATGCTCAAGGACTCTTAGATTTCAAACGGCTTCAGGTGCTGGAAATTTGTAATTGTAGCAAATTCAAGTACCTCTTAACCCATTCCATGGCCATGGGCCTAGTGCAACTCTTGCAGTTAATAGTAAAAAACTGTGGGACAATGGAACAAGTGATAATGGGAGAAGGAGCAGAAAATAAAATGGAATTCTCACATCTTTCTTTGATCAATCTAGAGTCTTGTTTGGATTTGACAAGTTTCTATGTGGGAAGTCATAGTCTTGAGCTTCCAAGCTTAAATGATTTTATTGTAAAGGACTGCCCAAAGATGGTCACATGTGCTGCTTCTACATCCTTAGAAGAGCACAACAAAGAGGAATCTCAATACCTCTTTAGCAGTAAGGTCAGTTTCTTTTTTTCTTTTCCATTTTTCTTTGTTTTTACAGCAACATGGTTAGTTTTATATATTTATTCATCGTAATTAAGATTTTACAGTATATTTATCGTTGCTTTTCGCTTGTCAATGTTGCCATCTCCACTTCTTTAGCTTCATGAATGAATCTCCTTAAACAAGTTCCACTTAATACACCATTAGAAAACAAAGACTCCTGGCTAGAACAACCACTTAAAATGTGAAGTTACTCAAGTTTTAAGGTAGGATTATTGATCCAAATAACATTTTTTCCCTTTTTTGTCCGCATTGACCCAAATAACGTTAAGTCCAAAAAGAGTTCACTGTTTTCTACTCAAAATAACAATGTACTTCACATCATTGCACGTTGTCTTCGTGTTCTTGGTTTGATATTATCCTTGTAATGTTTTTAGTTTAATCAGTTAAAAAAACAAAAACTTTTTGATGAAAATTCTGTTGAGTTGACTTTCTCAACATGGAGTTTTTAAAATTTCTAAAGTTAACATTAAGCAAATATGATAGAGTCATCTTCTTACAATGTCTTGTATTAACAGACTAACTATGAGTCTTTGCAGGTGGAGACTCCCAGCTTGGAGTTTTTGAGTTTGTCTTCAAATAACATTCAACAAATTTTGGACAATTCGATTCCAAAGATATCTTCTTATGTCCAAAATTTAAGAAAGTTGTGTGTGGAGGGTTGTGGTAATTTGAAAAATCTATTGACGTCCTCCATGGTTAAGAGTTTTGAGCAATTGAATTGGCTTGAGATTCGGGATTGTCATATGATGGAAGAGATAATACTTGTAGAAGAATCAGTGGACGAGGAAAGGATGCGCAAGATTTTCTTCCCTAACCTGGAGTTCCTACTACTCCAAGACCTTCCAAAACTCACAAGATTTTGTTTTGGAAATTACTTGGAATTACCATGCCTTTGGAAACTTAAGATAAGCAAGTGTCCAGTGCTGAAGACTTTCATCTCTAGCTTTATTTTTGGAGACATGGTAGCTAGTTTTGATAATGTCAAAAACACTTGTGCACTTTCTCTGTTCGACGCAAAGGTGATTTCTCCTTTTTTTTCCCTTTATATTTTTCCTTTTAATGTCTTATAATGCTATTATTATTTTCTCGTCCTCATAAAGTTTTACATTTTAAAAAATTAGATTCCAATATTTTGCATTCCCTTACATCTATGATTATGTTTAATTTTAATTGAGTTATGTAAATCTCTAGGTGGCATTTCCCAAATTAGAGCGTTTGATCATTGAACATGTGAAGAGCTTGAATAAGATATGGAATGACCGACTCGAAGTAAATTCTTTTTGCCAACTAACTTTGGTGAGCGTGGTTTCATGCGAAAAGTTAATGAATATTTTCCCATTTAGTATGGTGGAAAGGCTTCAGAGACTAGACAAACTCCAAATATGGAACTGTGATTCACTTGAAGAGATACTTGAGTCTCAAGAACCTGGTATTAGTCAATCGCAAGCTCAAAACGCCACTCTGCTGCCTTTGTTGAAAACTGTCACATGCTTGGAGGATGATGTGAAGGATGAGATTGTCTTCAGCAAACTCAAGTATTTGCAACTTTGTGGTTTGCCTAGACTTTCAAGCTTTTGCTCTGTTAAATGCAAGTTTGAGTTCCCATTTTTGGAAGAGGTGATTTTGATGGATTGTCCAAGTATGCACACTTTCTCTATGGATGAAATAAGAACACCAAAACTGCAAAAAGTAAAATTGAATGGAGATGAAGATGAAGGCTTTTGGGATGACAACCTAAACTCGACCATACAACTACATTTGATGCGAAAGGTATGCATTAATTCAAAAGATCTCTATAGGTTTTTCTTCTTTTAAGTTCTATCTATTTCTCGTTTCGTTTATTACACAAATCTTCACTTAGAGTCTTTAAAATAACAGGAAAAAGTAGAAAGATATGTATGAATGCTGGATAGATCATGATTTTGAGAAGGAAAATTTTTGCTATAATTTTTCCTTTCACCTTCAGTATTGTGGTGTTGCAGAGTCAAGGTGATTCTGAAAATTGAGATCAAAGAAATTGCGGCTTATGTCCTTTCCAAGTGAAATTTGATGGTGAGTCGGTCTCATGCTTCCATCATCTCTACAATTGTTTGATAAGGGTACATATCTTGTAAACATGCATGGAGGTATATTGAGGCTGCTTTCTCAGCTTGTTGCAGGTCTGAATGGTGTACACGTAAGTTGGATGTGAAGTTGTCACATTGCTTG